AAACATATCCTCATAACTTGAGTGTATTAGTATCTTGTGTCAGAGATTCTAAACCCCCAATCTAAACATATCCTCATAACTTGAGTGTATTAGTATCTTGTGTCAGAGATTCTGAACCCCCAATCTAAACATATCCTCATAACTTGAGCGTATTAGTATCTTGTTTCAGAGATTCTAAACCCCCAATCTAAACATATCCTCATAACTTGAGTGTAGTAGTATCTTGCATCAGAGAAGGCTCTTATAGACCCTTCCCAAAAGCGATCAATATTGAGTAGCATCAAACTACCTATGAAATTATGTCAAATTATAGTTATGATACATTCTGTTCCATTAGCTGTAGTTGTCACATAACTTGCTCACTCAGATTATTTTAATATAACATACTCAACCTTCCGTACTCCTTAATTAACATATTGATAGCATAATAATGTGATAATTAGCATTCAAACTCATACATACCTAGCTGCTTCGAGGCAGACATGTATTACTAAATACAACTAACAACTTTGTAAATCAGAAAGTTATTACTGAATATACCCATGAACACACCTGCTGTTACAATATTTCCAATCATCCAAAATGAGGCTAAGAAGCACATCTGACGAGGCCGGCTCTTTTCAGTTTGGAATTCAGCAAAGTATGACCACACCACAGGAATGCTACCTCCAACGCTAGAAGACAAATAACATCAAGTATTTTAGAATAAATCAGTTATTCAGATAGAATGACAAAAACAAAGTTAACATTAACAACCTACAGATTAAAAAATAAATAAAAAACAACATAAGTAACCAGAAAACAAGACAACGGAAGTTTGAAAAGAAACCTAATAATTAACCTAATCACATTTGGAAGGTGTAACTTTCTTCTCCTAAGTTAAACTTTTAAATATCAAATACAATGAGGAATCTAGAAGAAAAAATATGGAACATAAATTTTTATTATCATAAAGATTCTGATGCTACACTAAGGTTTTAACAGAAAAAACATTATGAACTTTGAGATTCAAAGTTTTACAAAGAAATAGTAAGCTTGCTCTTACTGCTTTGTAAACACATCTGTACAAGTCGACAAAAAAATATTTAATCATGGATATCAATTTAGAAGTTATAAAAACATTTAAAACAGGTGAATAAAACAGCTTATAAAAACTTTTATATAAATTTGTAATTTGCATGATGATGATCTAACTAGAAAATGGAAAGATCAAGGAAGGTATGACCAAGTTGACTCAATCTGAATGAACTAAGTAAGATAAAGGAAGTTACGACCAAGTTGACTCAATCTGAATGAACTAAGTAAGATAAAGGAAGTTACGACCAAGTTTACTCAATCTGAATTAACTAAGTA